GGGATTGGCAGCGTCTGGAACAAAAACAGAACCCTCGGGAGGACATTCATTTTAATAGTGTGAATCCTTCCGATCCATGAAATCGGCTTGCCTATCCATTTGTCCATGTAATTTATTATATTGTTAAACAAAGGGGTGTAGTTCAATTGATGTAAGTTTGCTGGATCGCATGGAAGTTGGATCCCTAAGTACTTAATTGAGTGTGTTTTGATTGGAATGTTGTGTAACTGTTGGATTTCATCTGAGTCTGTTTTAGAGAGGCCTATGGGGAGTGTGCTAGATTTTTCAATGTTAACTTTATAACCGGAAATTGAACTGTATGTTGTAAGGATTTCTTTCATCACCTCTATGGACTCTTTTGGTTGAGTAAGTGATAGTAATACGTCATCTGCATATGCAGATGCCGTGAATTGCTGACCCTTGACTTCTACTCCGTGGATGTGTGGGTGCTGTCTAATGGCTTGTAATAGTGGTTCCGGGGATATAACAAAACGTAGAGGTGACAGGGGGCAACCCTGTCATGTTCCGTTACTTAGCTGGAAGGGTACGTGTGAAGGATATTCATGTACTTACCTGTGTGCCTTCAGTTATACCTTCTCCCTGCTGTTTAAATGCCCGTATCAGTTCTTTTCACTATGTATTGAATAAATGTATTCGTTTACTGAACGGAGACCACCCACCCTGGGTAGCAATCAGCATTAGAATGTAGAGAAAACCGCAACTTAATTGCTCCTAGGTGGCCACCATTCGGCATACGAACACGTGGCGAGAACAAAGGATGGTGGCCATCTTAAAACTCACGAATGCCGTCAGCGGGACTTACGCATTAATTGCCTGGAACTATTTTCGGCATGGCAAACATGTGAACGCCCGGTCCTCATGGAAGTCCTGGCTGAATACGTTCCCCTCCACGAATCAAACTGGCATTCGGTAGATAGAACCTACCGAACGAGGGGAACATTCACATGTAACCAGCTGCATCATACGAACGGTGGTTTTCGTGTAATTAGACGCGAACGAAGACCGGCTCTTGCTGCTGATTTCATGGAACTCTGAATCGGATAACTCCACATGGGGAGCCGGTCAAACTTCTACACGATGCGACACGAAAACTATCGTAGGGAAATTCGTGATATTTGGATATATGACAACCAGTATCCTCAGCTACCCAGGGATGCTAATGTTATATTTGTATGTGTTATAGAAAGTACTTTTCTGAAAATGTTGAAAATTGTAATGTTTCTGGCCAGCAAATAATTGAGATTAGTATGTTGCTGAAACTCAATTATCTAGCCTGGCCCAGAGGAGGAGTCTGTTACTGTTTAAATTGAATGCCTGTTGCTTCCAGAAAATCAGTCTTGTTCCAATAAGCTTTGGCTCATGTGTGGATTATTTGGCGATACCAGCGATATTTCTTCTTGTGAGTACTGGGTGATTTTCTTTTATGGGAAAGAAGGGAATGCTTGACGGTGATATCGTATACTACTGTCACAGTACGCTATGGGCTCCCTTTATCATAGCGATGTAAGCGTCTGGGAAACCCATGTGTGGAAGGAGGGATAATAGATAGTGCCGTTTGACCCTATCTATAGCATTAGTGTGGGGTTTTTTGTATGTACCTGTCTTCAAAGTATATCTATGTTCCTACAGGTGTTCTCAAACAATTGTCTCTCGCAGATAAACCCAACTTGGCCTGCGTCGATTAATCTAGAGAGCAGTGGATTCAGTCTGGATGCAAGTATTTTTGCTACAATTTTCGAGTCATGATTTATTAACGAGATGGGTCTGTAGTTTTCCGGTCTTTGGGAATCCCTGCCTGGTTTAGGGAATAGTATTATGTTTGCTAGGGACATTTGTCTGTCTGGGGTTCCACCCTCCCATAGGTTGTTAAACAATTGTTCTAGTTTTGGGGTTAGTTATTTAAAGGTTTTATAGTAGCTACCATCATAGCCATCCGGGCCCGGAGCTTTGTTCCCTTTTAGTGCTGAAATGGCCTCATCTATCTCCTCTGTCGTCATCTTGGTTTGTAGGCTCTCTATTGCTTTTGCACTGTGTAACGGACCGTTTTGCACAAAAGGGGTAAAAACCGTTTAGGCGATCGGCCCCCTTTCCAGAGATGCAGGCACAGCTACTGCAGAACACCAAACTCCCGAACTGGATACAAAATAGCACTCCAACTCCCGAACTGGAACCTCCCAAATAGCTACTAGCAGACGAACAGGAAAAGCAGACAATCAGCTTACACTCCTGGCAATCAGTCTCTAACAGCATACAGTGAATCCCCCCAAGAACGAGACAAGGCTCTGTGTTGAGGGTCAAGCAGTGGTCTGAGGTGCTGGCACACCCAGCCTGGTTTTTATTACAGTCTTGCAAATACAGGACCGCCCACAGGGAGGTATAAAATATCCAGTAACATATTAGTTACAACCCACAGATTCCCTCCCCCTTATCCTGAGAGGTAACCCAATACACATAACTTTTACCACAATGCATCCTGGCTTCCTCTCCTCTGCCCTGGAGATAAGTGAGAAGTAATTCAATTATCTCCCAGGACAGGGACAAGACTCCATTATGCACATGGTGACACAAAGACAGTAAAACACTTTAAAATACATAAAGTCACCTTTTACACATAACACACAGACATTTAACATATCCCCAGATAGCTCAGGTCTGAGCGCACATTATTAAGCGAATGGCGCTCAGACCACACGAATACAGTTTAATCGCCATGGAGCCAAAGTCTTTACAGTCAGTTTCATACGAATGGGCTCCATGGGATTCCTATCTGGGGTATAACACATTCAAACAAATCTACCGAACCCCAGGCAGAAAAGCACAAATGAAGCTTTTCTGCAGGTAAAAAAGATGTCTTTTAACAGGGGGCCATAGTCCAGAGGCAGCAGGCGAGCAACCAGGCTTCTCCAATGCAATGTGGCGAGATTGGTCTCGTCACACACTGAGTCTTGGAAGTTTAATTTTATTTAGAAATTCCTGTATGTCCTGGGCTTCTGCTCGCTTGGTGTCTGGTTCTTGTGGGGAGTGGTTATATAGGGACTCATAAACGCTGGTAAACACCTCTGCTATGTCCTTAAGGTTTGTTTTTAGTGAGTTATCGCTACCTCTAATTGCTGTAATGGGTGGGTATCTCTGTCTTGGGCATAGTGATATGGCCAGTAATGTGTTCATTTTATTCGCTTTTTCATAATAAGATCTCCTGGACCATATGATAACCCTGGCTGTGTCCTCTATCTACAGCTCTTGAATGGACTCTCTTATTGCCCTCAGTTGTGTACTGTTTGTTTCAGCGGGATTTGACTTATGTTGCTGCTTTTTTCCTGAGGGTGGTTAAAAGCTCTGTGAGTTTCTGTGTCTTTTGTTGGTTTTTTTTTGCCATCACTAGGCGGATTAGTGTTCCTCTGATTACTGCTTTATGCCCTGTTAAGTCTTCCTGTTCATTCAGGCGGAAATAGTCTTTTATGTCTTTGTGCACCTCGTCTACGATCTGGGGGTCTCGTAATAGGGCTGCATTAAGATTCCATGTCCACGGTGCAGCCGTGCAGAGGTTCCCTAAGGATAGGGATAGGTCAGCGTGGTCCGACTAGATCCTGTTGATGATTTGTGGACCCTTGCTAATCCTGTGCTGTTAACTAAGAAATAGTCTATCCTAGAGTATGTATTGTGTGGGGCTGAGTAGAAGGTATAGTCTCCTTCTCCTGGATGGTGTGCTCTCCATATGTCTATTAGTCCTGTGTTGTGGAGGAAGTTCTGTATTAATTTATCTTGTCTGCCCTTTCCCTGTGAGTGTACTTGTCCTCTCCGAGAAGTTCCCTGAACATCAGGCGGCGTTTCTTAGGCACATTTGGGCTTTTAATGTTCAGGGAAGCAAAGTTCAAAGCCATGATCTAGTATTATTATTAGTCATGCCTGTGTTACTTCCATGTGTCCTTTTACAAAGCTTTACCTTGTGGTGGGAGATGTTGTTTATTATGGCGTCCTTGTCCCCTTCCTCCAGGTGTCCCCCTTCTTTCCTGGTCACCTTGGACTGTGTCTATCTGCAAGGGTGAGCATACTTATCTGCGCTACAGACTCCAGCCAAGGTAAGCCGTTACAATACGCAAATCTCACCCCCACAGTCCCTCCCCTTCCTGTTGATATCAGCGTGTGTACAGAACTATTTACAGTTACGAAAATGGTGGTATAGTATATATAAAAAAAAACAAAAAAAAAAACTGTTGACGCTTTAAACAGGTGCAGATGTCCCTTCGTACAAAAGAGAGAAGCAAAAAATGTGGTAAAAATGTAAAACCCCGAGGGTTAGAAAAACCTGTATTTTCAGTGTCTGAGTCTCTAGCGGGCATTTCCTTGTCTGGAACAGCGCCGTCCTCGTGGTGTTGAGGTGGGTACTAGGTCAGCTGGCCTGATCACTTCACTCTTCTACCGACATCCACTCTCTCGGTAATTGCTGCAGCTCGGTGGTGGTAAATATTGCTTGCAGGTTCAGCGCCTGGATCCATAGGCCCCTAAAGAATATAGCGGGGTCACCTCCTGGTAGGAGCATATGTGATCTTCCATCTTTAACCCCTTAAGGACCAAACTTCTGGAATAAAAGGGAATCATGACGTCACACATGTCATGTGTCCTTAAGGGGTTAAAGGTAAGTAGCTTGAAGGGGTAACCCCATGAGTAGTTTAAGTTGACTGCCCTTAGTACTTCAGTGTAGGGCCTCCATTCCCTTCTTCTCTGGAAGGTAGATGGCACCAGGTCCTGGAACAAGGCGAGGTCGGTTCCTTTGTAGCTGTAAGGATCTTATCTACTTTTCTTCATAACAGCTTCCTTCATTTGGAAATGAAGGAATTTGATTATTATGTCTCTCGGTGAGTTGGGGGTCTAGCAATCTGGTGCATACGGTTCTATGTGCTTTCTCCACATGCCACATGTCCCTCGGTATCTCTGGCAGTTTAGGCCGCAATATTTCCAGCACCAGGACCGTCAAGGGGCCCTCTCCCGCCTTTTCCTTTAGGCCTTGCAGGCGGATGTTGTTGGGTCTTGAATGATTTGCAATGTCTTCAATGTGTAGTTCTGCAGCCTGAACCCGAGCAGTGAGGGAGTTCACTTGGGTAATTGCCTCATTGTGAGCCACTATGGTAGTCTCCTTTCTCTGATCCAGAGCTGCCGTCCATGTGCCCAAGGAATTAAGCTCTATCTTTAGCTCTTTCGTCGATCTAGTGATCTTGTGGGCTAGGTAAGCGTGTACCTCAGCTAATTTAGAGAATATTGGGCCGTACCTGCCTGTGCTGTTTCTGCTGCGGTATGGTCTACGCTGTTTTCTGGGTGTAGTTTTTCAGGAAAAAATATGCTTTTGTTGGCTGTCAGCTAGGTGGTCGGTGTAGCGCTTTACTGAATCATGTCCAGCTTGCTCCGCTGTCAGGCCACTCTCCAGCATGGGGTTTCTAATACAAAATCACAGGAGTTTCCTTCCCACAAGCCATTGTGTATGAGAGATAATTGAGCTTCAATCAAGCTAATCCAATTATCTCTCAAATAGGAAAACTTACATACAATTTTTACATATCACAAAAAAAACATGACAAATTATATTCCCTAATAGCCCCAATCTGAGCACTTTTTGGATATGTTGTGCGCTCAGATCGGGGCTTAATAATCAACCCTCATTCCTATCATATTTAGAATGGGACAAGCATAATCTTCTGCGAACGAAGGGGACAATACATTGTTAAATAGCCTTGATCTGAGTGCCCAAATTCTCCAAATAGCGCTCAGATCAGGGCCGGATTAACATAGGGGCTGATGGAGCTGCAGCTCCAGGCCCAGGCCCATGGAATAGGCCCATTGATTTAAAAAAAAAAAAAAAAACACTTTTTTTTTTACATTTTTTTTTTTTCACACACTACTCTTAGGGATTCCACCTGGCTTTTATTTTATTGGCACAGCCAGTATTTGAGGCTGCCTGGCTGGTGCCAATATTACAGTGATATTGGCAATACAAATGCTGGTATTTTTCTCAGTATAAACAAGAGATTACTATGCAATACCAGCATTGGCCAGTAGGGGTCGCTGTGTGTGGAGACAGGCAGGGATAGGAAGTTCCAGCATATCCCTCCCTGCCTCTCTCTACTCACTGATCTGCAGGGGTGCAGCTACAGAAAGTCCAGACAGCAACTCCCACCCTGCAGAGACAGCCTACAGCTCAGGGAAGTAAGGGATGGGGGGAAAGGCTGCAAGGAGACATGGGGACACAGACACTAAGGGACATTGGGAGACATTATGGCAGACACTGAGACACTAAGGGACATTGGGAGACTTTATGACACAGACACATGGGGACACAGTGTCCCCGTGTCTCCCTGCCAGTGTCCCTGGTGTCTCAGGGCCCCTTAGTCTCCCAGTGACCTCTAGTCTCCCAGTGTCTCACTGTCCCCATGTCTTCTAGTGCCTCCATGTCTCCCAGTGCCTCAAGTGTCTCAATGTCCCCATGTCTCCAAGCTAGTGTCCCTAGTGTCTGTGGCCGTGGTGTCTCAGAGTCCCCATGTCTCCCAGTGCCCCCATGTCTCAATGTCCCCATGTCTCAATGTACCCATGTCCCCCAGCCAGTGTCTCTAGTGTCTGTGTCCCCATATCTTCAAGTGTCCCCTATTTTCCCAGTGTCCCCATGTGTCCCAGCCAGTGTCCCCTAGTTTCCCAGTGTCACTGGTGTCTCTGTGTCCCTAGGTCTCCCCGTGTCCCCAGGTCTCCCCGTCTTCCTAGTGTCCTAGTGACACATACATGGGGACATAGACACATTGGAATACTGGAGGACACAGGGAGACATGGGGCATTGAAACACTGTGATACATAGGAACGCTGAGACCTGGAGTAATCGACACATGGGGGCACTGGGAAACATGGGGGCACTGAGAGGAATCCATCTATACAGCATAATCAAACTAAGTAGTTTCTTGGTGATTTTACAGCATTTTCTCTCACGTCACTCCTTGTGATTTACATCATGTGATGTCACCCATACATATTTAATTATGCAAATTAGTAAGGCCGGTATGTTTTTCCAAGAAAGGTGGCAACCCAAACTACTTTTCACATACTCTTACTTAAGTATGGAAACTTAAGAGGGATGTATGGGAACAAAGCTTGTGTGGACTGGATGACAATGAATATAGTTAAAGGGACACTATAGTCACAAGAACAACTACAGCTTATTGAATTTGTTCTGGTTAGTAGAATCATTACCTTCAGGCTTTTTGCTGTAAACACTGTCTTTTCAGAGAAAATGCAGTCTTTACATTACAGCATAGTGATAACTTCATTGGCCACTCCTTGGATGGCTGTTAGAGATCCTTCCTGGGTCATGGCTGCCTAAAATGCATCCAAACATTCAGTGTCTCCTCAATCTGCATGCAGACACTGAACTTTCCTCATAGAGAATCATTTATTCAATTCATCTCTATGAGGAGATGCTGATTGGCCAGAGCTGTGTTTGAATCATGCTGGCTCTGCCCCTGATCTGCCATTTTGTCAGTCTCAGCCAATGCTATGGGGAAGCACTGTGATTGGATCAGGCCACCACTTCTAATGATGTCAGCACACTGCTTGTTTTTCTGAGTCTAACAGCATGCAGAGTTACAGCTTCAGGCTTGAATACAGTAAGATTTTTACTATATTTATGGAGGCATGAGGGGCCTAGGGGGGTTAGATGGTGGTGTTAACACTATAGGGTCAGGAATTCATGTTTGTGTTCCTGACCCTATAGTGATCCTTTAATGTAATGCTGACTTTGGTCTCTCTAACACTGTGGCATGTTCCCTTTTTTCTACACTCACTACATACAGCTTTTCTCTGTCCCAGTCTACATACCAGGAGCGTCTGCCTGCTAGTAAGAAGGTAAGGAGACAAGTGGACCAGTGAGTGCTAGGGGACAGTCCTTTAGAAAGCGTTGAGCGAGCGCATCATTAGATGCATTTATACCAAGCTCAGGGTGCTGTCTGCTTAGTATGCCCTTATTTGGCCAGCTGCATGATTGGCAGGCAGTCTGACATGCATTCATGCCAGGCTGGCCTTCAAATTCTTTGGGCAGACATGTCCTCTTTTTGGGCATGTTCACCCCTTTTGGCAGGTTACGTGATTTGTGCCAGTGGCACACCCTTTTACCATGCCCATTGACTTCCTGCTTGTCTGGACACTGCTGTTAGGGGTTATGGATTTACTTGAAAGATGAAAACATAAATTAGTGAGAGATTAGCCTAGGGTATGTGTTTTCTTATAGCTGCTGTTTTCTTTCTCTCCAGCACCATCTCCATCAGATACATGACGCTTGGGAGTGTTTTACTGTTTTTGGTTGATATGATTCTTTAATAAGGCCCGTCATAATTGTCAGCACCAGGCCCACTGGGCTGTTAATCTGGCCCTGGCTCAGATACATGCAATGTAGGGGAAACGCCACCATGTTACAGTTCTGACCGGCCGCACACTGCCCCAAATAGTTCCAGGGCGTTTGGTGCTTTTGCCGGTCAACTTTCGGGAGGTCCTGCGGCCGCAATACGGGGTGTTCCGCCTGGCTCTTAGGTAGCATTTGTTCCCCTCAGTCTTAGGCACCCAGGGAAAGCTACTAATGGTGGCTGGCCAGGGTAACTCCCAAATGGTGTCTCAGACCTGGACCATAGTCGGTGGGAAGGAGGCCAGCTTCTACACTCCTCCAGGAGTCCGTGGCAAACCTACATGGGAAGGAGCATTTGTCAAAATCTTGAAGTTTCATAAAAGACATTAAAGAATTACCTAATAAAAAGTCATTTAAATTTTGAATTGATTTAGTGTACCAATTACCCAAATTTAAATCAGGAACATCTAGTTTTAATATAGACAGCGGCATTACTCACGACCACCCAGAGGAAGGGTTGACTAGCTTAAACACAGTATCCCAAGCTTTGATGGTAATCTTAGTAGTGGGAAACATCTCAGCTATCCTGGGTCACCCAGACATCTGAAGCCAGAATACTTCTTTAATAGAATATGGTGACATCCTATCATTTTCCATCTCAAGCCAGCATGGAATCTTTTCTATATCTTATGTGTTCTATTGAGAAATTAGAAGAGTTGTAGCTTATTCTAGGATGCATATCAGTAGACAATTCTTTATTCAAAAATAACCACTAAAAGGCTATATTTATTACCATTTTTGTCTACATACAAAAGATTTGAAAGGATTATGCAAATCAATATGATAATTTCAGTGATTGGAAGTTTTCATAGTGCTTGGAGTCTGTATGTGCAGCATTTCACTATGAAGTACTGCACATACGAATATTAAACCCTTCTGCTGCTGGAGATGTACAGCTGTAATCAAAATTATTTAACCCAATTTGGAAATCAGGTTTATTGCAAAAATGTACATACCTCCAGCTGTTTGCAATGAATAAATCAAACAAAAGCAATTGAAATAGCTCAACACAACGAATGATTCAAGTGGTTTTCCAAAATTCAACTAATAATGAAATATAAAGTGACTTCTCCAGTCTCAAAATTATCCAACCCCTTCATGGCAAACATCTTTAGTATTTACTAGAGCACACTTTTGCTGTTATGACCTGCCAGACATCAGTTTCTGGCTGTGTTCCTGAGCAATCGTAGCCTATTGCTCAGAGCAATAGCCTCCAGTTCAGTAATATTCTTGGGTTTGCATACTGCAACCACCTTCTTCAAATCCCGCCAGAGATTTTCTATGGGGTTCCAGGCAGGTAACTGTGATAGCCACTGTAGAATTTTCCAGGATTTCTTCTGCAACCAAGCCTTGGTGGAATTTGAGATATGCCTGGGATCATTAAAAACAAAAGAAAAGAGTCACTTGTGCACTATCCCAAATCCCTATGCACATTTAAATAACTGGAGGTTTTTAGTATCACTCCAATGGCCATGGTAAGGCAAACCTCTTAGGTAGGTCCTACACTAACAATGTTACACTTCTGCCGTCCACTCCATGTGTTCCCTATTAAGGGTCAGTAGTGCAGGTCTGTTGCAGTCACTCTAGGGTTTTTTAATACCTGCCTTCTCAGAAATCTGGTTGCAGCAATTGATAGCACCTTTTTCTGTCTTGTCCAGGTAGTGTAATCACTGTTCCTTCAACTTTGAACTTGTGAACTATGCTACCAATGGTGTCCCTAGGATCATTCAGTACTTTCACTGAATGGCGATGATATATTCTCTTAACTTTGTGGATCATTCTTTTGATTTAGCCATATTTCTAACATGTAATCAAATGTGACATTTAACAAACCCATAGCCAGTTTGGTATTTCAAATATATCAGCTCAAGCACACCTGGTGCAACTAATGAATATCTTGATTATTTGCATCAGGTGTGCTTGAATTTGTGCTGTTGTGAGAGATTCTTTTCAGTTGAATTTCAGAAAACCACTTGAAGCATTTGTTGTGTTGAGCTATTTCAATTGCTTTTGTTTTATTTGTTTATTGCAAACAGATGAAAGTCTGTAAATTTTTACAATAAACCTGATTTTCAATGGGGGATGTATAATTTTGATTACAATTGTAGCCCCAACTCCGGCAGCGTCATTGGGCATCATTAGCCAGCAAGGTACAAGATTGTTGGACTGGCTATTACCAGCCCCTTTCCTTGTACAATCCTCCCATGTCTTCCCTTCAGCTCACCATTCCTAACTTCCTTCCACCACTGGTGATACGGAAATACGTCAGAGGATGAAGATCAGGCTGCAGGGAGAACTTCACCTCATAGTTGGACTCTGGTTTTTAGTTGGAGTAACCCTCTAAAGGAGAAATCTTTAACAACTACACCACTCTAAAGACTAGAAGTTGTTGCAGGAAAAAAACACGGTGGTTACTGCTACACCCGCATGACTACAGCAATGCCCCCATGTACTGATTTTCCAAGTATTTGTTCAGTTGCAGGGTCAAATTAGGAACATGCCCATTTTTAGTTTTCAACCTGGAATATTGCTTTGCATGTCAATCTTGCACTATTAATCAGTGCAACAATTCAAAGGTAGACATGGGGCATTGTCACACACTTCACACAGCCACAGGGACGGCGCCACCATTGGGTGAACTAGGCATTCGCCTAGGGCTCCGGCCTGCTGGGGGCGTCCACCGGGATATTTCCTGGTGGGCTCCCCCTGTCTTGGGCCACAGTGCTGGGCGAGCGGCTCTTAAGCCGCCCCCCTTCAGCACCAGGCTGCTCATCGAGGCGCCTGAAGGTGGGGGCGCCCAGAGGAGCCCTGTCATAGAGGACCCAGGAGGTGGCCATCTGGCCACCTCAGGGCGCCCCCTAAGTTGTCCTTCAGTATGGAAAAGCAGGCACCTTCTTACCTTCATGACAGGTGCCTGCTCTGCCATCAAATGCCGTTGACCGGAGGAGCCAGGAGAAGGCAGGCACTGAGGGAGGCTGTTCTTGCAGTCTCTCAATCCTTCCTTTGCGCGCCCTCTGTGATGCCGGGAGCCAGAATATGACATCATTCCGGCCCCGGCATACTAAACAGCGGGCGGGAGGAGTAAGGAGCTGCCCCACACTGGACCCCAGGGAGGTAGGGAGGCTGAATTTGCCTAAAAAAATACAATTGTGTGAGTCTACGTGTTTGACTGTGAGTGTTTGACTGTCAGTGAGTGTCTGCCTGTGTGTGTGTCTGTCAGTGTGTGTCTGTCAGTGAGTAAGTGTATGTCTGTCAGTGAGTGTCTGTGTGTGTGTGTGTGTGTGCATGTCTGTCAGTGAGTGTGTGTGTGTGTGTCTATCAGTGAGTGAGTGCATGTCTGTCAGTGAGTGTGTGTGTGTGTGTATCATTAAGTGAGTGTATGTCTGTCAGTGTGTATTGTGAGTGTATATCTGTCAGTAAGTGTGTGTATGTCTGTCAGCGAGTGTCTGTGTGAGTGTATGTATGTATGTATGTGTGTGTGTTTCTGTCAGTGGGTGAGGGTATGTCTATCAGCGTGTGTGTCTGTTAGTGAGTGAGTGACATGAAGGGGTGGCAAAATGGATCTTTGCCTAGGGCGGCAGAAATCCTTGCACCAGCCCTGCACAGCCACTAACCTACAAATTCCTGTGGGTTTATTGTATTGGCTTTCAAAGTATGTGCATGTGTAAGAAAATAATCTGCTACATCCTCTGAGTACTACAGTGCCTTGAATCTAGAAGTTATGGGACAACAATTTGTAACATGCCTTCAAGATTTTTTTTTTAAATACACTGAGTTCAGATCTCATCTGGTGTAGATTAGCAGCACATTTGGATGTGAGATCGTCCAAGGAAAATTTATTAAATGTAGAAACTACAGGGTTTTTCCACATTTAGCACTTGAACAATTTGCAACTTGTTGTTTTACCACCAATGTCTTCTGTGTTTTTTGGTTCTTTTCTACAAACATATCTTAATTGTGCATACAGGGTGTTTGTTAATGTAGGAAAAAAAAACATTTTGAGTTCAGCTACACCCCTTGTTGACCGTTGTACAGAGATGTATTACAGATTCAAAGGGCCTTCGGTGATAGGGATCACTGCTAAAATAACCCCAGTTTAGCAAAAGAATATGGTATGGTATTTATTCAAGTAGTTACTAAACAACCAAATTTCAAGTTCAGAAAGGCTGGATATTTTAATTTTTCGAGTATCACCTGTACTGTGCAGCACTGACCCAGGAGGCACCTCTAGTGGCCATCTGAGGAGTGGTGTTCCTGAATGTAATGTAAACACTGACTTTTCTCTGAAAATACTCACCAGAACAACTTAATTAAGCTGTAGTTATTCTGGTGACTATATTGTCCCTGTAAGTACCCTACCCTACTCCTTTCCTTATCTACACAGACCTTTAATGTTACAAACCATAGCTTCTAACATTTGAAAATAAAATGTCCAGTAAACTCTCAATGCTTCTCGATCCAACTTGCTTTACTAACCATAACAAGACACAATTGTCTGACGATCTTTTAAGTGAAATGATAAAAAAAAGTGTTTGTTTTCTAATTGAATTACACTTTTTTGGTCTTTCAGCCACATGGGGTGAAGTAAATGAGGGTAGACTGTCCACCCACATTGGCAACTTACTGGATTTACATTGTTAGTAAGATTCTGTCACAAACAACTGGCAGGCAAATGTAATAAAAATAAGTGGGTTTCCGAATGGATAGCACAAACTTTTAAGAAAAACATCATAGCAAGCGAAAAAAAAAAAACAATAAATAAAACCAGCTCGAAATTCAAGGCAATGATAAACCATGACCTTTCTGTCACATGATGGATCCTGGCATAAGATCTAATAGGTAGTAAAATGCCTGCCATGGATTTTTTAACTGATAGTGGTCAAAGTGCTTTTGATAATGGGTTTAAACATATTTAACCTTTATCTGGTCTTGTATTATGAAATAACAATGTGATTTTTTTAATACCTTTCCTTTTAGAATTTATCCACACTGCACAGTTATTGTGCAAAGATAATGACTATTGCTAGTTGCAGACGGTTCGTCTAAACATAAAGCAGGGTACATTAAACTTGTAATACATATCTGCTGGTGTAGTTTTGCATTGTTACATAATATGAAAACATTGCCAACAAGGCTAACAGTGGATCTACACATTTCTAGAAGTATGCGTGAAATAACATTTGGTCTAGGAGGGTATGCTTGACACAGCAAAGCTTGTATTGAGCAGTCGTCATGCCAGGCATACCGATAATATAATAGCATGATGTTACCAATTCTAATAGTTGCAGACAGTGCGTATAAACATAAAGCAAGGTACATTAAACTTGTATTAAATAACTACTAATTTGGTGTCGCGTAAGTATATATTAGTAGGGTCTCATTATCAGTCTGCTAAGCCTATATTATAGGTGTTTATCCATATCGCTAGGTCTGTTGCCGGGTCTAGGCGTGCAACGCCTGACTAAAGAGTTGCTTGTGTTGTTCAGCATGTAGCTCAATCTGACGAGTGTGGGGGGGGTTAATGTGTGGTCGGATGGCCACTCTACTGCGGTGCGGGTGGGTTGCTGTATGTGGAGTTAAGCTTAGTACGTGTAAGAGTGAGATGAGCATATTAATATAACCGCTAGTGTTTCAGGGTAACTTTACATATCAGGCTTATCATAGTACTATCAAGAGCTCAGGTGGTGACCGCTGCTGTGGGACGAATGTGGTCACTTTCGCCGGGTCCCAGCGTTAGGTTGCAGGTTCCCCCCTTTGCGGTCTATCTGGGGCGGTGAGTCCATTGGGAGTCCCAGTGTGGGCAATAGGGTCCTTGCTTCGGTGATGTCGTGGACTGCGTGCCGGGTCTCTCCGTGGATGATCATTAGCGATCTTGACAGCCGCCAGCGGTACTGGATACCCTTCTGCCGGAGGAGAGCAATGAATGGCTTGAGGGCTCTCCTCCATGCCAGGGTGCCTCCTGAAAGGTCTGGGTAAAAGGTGAGTTGCATACCCTCAAAGTTGTACGGATCCTGATCCTTGAGGGCTGTTAGCATTGCCACTTTGTCCCTGCCATTGCGGAGGTGGACTATTAGATCTCTCGGCGCTACTGCAGGGGCTTTTGGCGCTTTTGGGATTCGGAAGCAATCCTCCATAGACATTGATTTGGCCTGTCGTGGGGATAGTAACGTGCCTCAGCATGTGTGGCAGTTCCTCTGTGGGTATGGCCTCCGGGACGCCCCTAATTTTTAAGTTGTTTTTGCGCCGGACGTTTCTATCATCGCAAATCTGTTGTCATGCG